GTTTGCTCAGGGGTAGCTTTGTCATGATGACTCAGACTGCAAAAAAACCACCTGGTGACATGGGAATGGGGCATCACGCGGAAGCACAGCAAAAGAGGAAATGATGAGTCTATGGCACCAGGTGGACAGCAGTCCCCAAGTGACATGGAATTGCAAGACATGTAGGGAGAGGGCAGCTTTGGGGCTGACACAGAAGCAAACTGCTTGCTTCAACTCCTGTCCACTCCAGTGTTGTGGGGCTGCTTTGCTTCAGAGTTCTGGAAAGGTGTCACATGGAGAACAGGAATACCTGCCTCTTCATGAAGTTGGCAGTCACTGTGAGCTCGTGAAATGGGATGGGACAAAAAGAGGGAGGAGCCTGACTTGTCCCGTGTAGCCCTGTCCAGTTAATATCTGCTGGTTGAAGATGCACATGCAGCTCCAAATCTGAGTGTGATATCCCATCACCACAGTGCTTGGACCAGAATATTTTGCAAGGTATATATGTATATGTATTTTTATATGTGTATTATATATGCATATAAATATATATGCTATATAGATTTTTCTATAGTTATATGCTTATATTTTTGAATATACATATGCAAAAATATATATGCAAAATACATATATATGCAAAATAAAAGCAGCTATTTCTTATTCTGTTATTTCCTCTACAATGTGTTTGTTTAGTTATAAACATTTCTGCTGTTATTTTTGTCACTGGGATGCAGTTCATTTCCTGGATAAGAATCCTGCAAAACAATCTACTACAATTAATTTTACCTCTTCTCACTCTCGTTTTGTATATCACCTCTTAAGGTGGTGTTTGGGCTTTATTTAACTACACTCCCTATTGCATTTTCTTGTCTTTAGGGGAGAAAATGTATTCCTGTTCCACGACTGAAAGAGCTTATATTCTCCTCCAGAGGTTCATTTCTACCAGAGAAGGCCAGAGCTCAGGCAGGTTCACCAGGAGGTGTAGTAACTACAGCGTTACAAGGATTCACTGTTTTGGGATTTATCGCAGTAGAAAAGATGGTACGGATCTGTTCTCGGTGGAGGTTAGCTGTTCAGCCTGCTTTGAGTTTTGTGATTATGTCCATGCAAGTTGGACACAGAATTGCAGATATGGACCATGTGCCGGGGCTTAGTGATGAGATGGACATAAAATGGAAAGCTGAAACATGTGTATGAAGTTGGAGAGAAAGGGAAGGAGTATACTCAGTGCTATAAATTTTATTTCTAGTTTTTTCCTGCTACTGGGCCTTTCAGCAGGTACGCAACTTCAATATTATTGAGTGTGGACATTTACAGTGGCCTTGATGTTTACTTTTACCATTAGTGCACTGAATCTCCAAGAGAGATCATTTCAGAGATTTTTGTGCTGGTGAAAGAGCAATGACTGGATAAGGTCGATGTGAGGAGAAGAGTGAAAAAAGCAGGAGGGAAAGGACCAGAAATTCTTTTAACTTGCAAAAAAAAGTATGAGACAGATGAATGTTGGTGGTTACCCTGTGTTGATCCTCTTACTGGTTGGCTGCTTTTGGAGAAGAGCGATTGAAACCCAAGGCTCCGGCAGGTCTACACTGAATCAGTAGTCCCGGGACCTTTGAAATATGAGATGTTGCTTCCAAATGAGTGAAAGCTGATCTTGTGAGCTGTGTAGCAAGGGTGACTCCTTTGCAAACTGCCTTCCTTGGAAAACTGCACACTTTTTTCCCTTTTCTGATTTTTGTGGTGGGTTTCTTCAGGATGTTGGGCTTCCTGTCCAACATAACCCCCTCCTTCTGAGCTGAGAGTCAAAATCCTTGTGGCTTCTGTGGCTCCCTGTGCTATTTTTCTCATTATAACTGGAGAACAGGTTTTCTCAGCAGCCCATTCTCATCTTCTTGACTCATGGATATTTTTTTCTGCTTTTGAAATAAAATTTGGATTAGACATGGTTTTTTTCCTATTAGTGGGCATGAGCTTAATATTATAAATAACTGTTTGCAAGAATAATAGAAACGACCCCAGCTTTACATCATAAAAACAGTCCTCACAGTTACCACATTTGGCAGGAACACCAAAGCAAGGGGAGGACTCAGGCATGTTGAGGAAGGAGGAGAAGTTTGCAGGATTCATTTTCCAGGTGGACAACCAGGTGATCCAAAATGTAAGCCTTAGATTTTGTACCTTGGAAGCTTGTTTTGATGCATGAGCACATTTAATGCAAATTAATCCCCCTGAGCTCTCAAACTCTTGCAAATCCTCTGCATTATGAAGCACAACAGGAGGGGGAATGGAAAATGGATCTGAATTCTTCTGTGGCATTAGGTCAAATTCTTGTATTAGCTAATTGTAGCCGCCTGATTGGTCTATATTTCAACGTTTGTGGCAATGATAACGTCATCAAACAGCAAATAAAACTGCTGCCTTTTGCTTCCTCATAGTAATTTTTTTCCTGTATATATTTTGAAGCTGTGCAAGTATGTATAGGAAAGCAGATTACTTCCCCAGACTCTCCATCATGTACTCAGGCACCTCTGAAAAAACAGTAATTAATTAAAGAAATAGATTCTTTAATGAAAGACACAAAAATTAGAATCCATGATATTAAAATGATAATACCAGAACAGGACATACTGCAATTTATTCATACGGAATTTTATTATAAAATACTGGTATTTATTCATCTGAGCCTCCACCAGGTTGTTTTTGTTTGTTTTTAACACTGATGTCTAGTACAAATTAACATTAGGAATATAGGAATTTATGTTTCAATTAAGTTTAGAGTGCTAAATACTTTTTTTTTTTAAAGAAATGTTTCACGTCCAAATTGACCAAGAAGTGTTCAAATTTGCTACTGGAGCTACTTTCTTCATTCCACTGTTCATTGTTATTTGTCTGTGGACAGCCTAACCTTAAAAATACAGGCTGAAAGCAAGCTAATCTGATCTGTAATATCTAATAGGGATTTGCACAGACTTTTGTTTGAAATAATTTGTGTGGCAGCTGATTGCACTTGTCCGTCACCAGATGGACAGGTCTGATGGGAAACCATGCAATCTGAATTACCATGAAAAGCAAGAGGGATGATTTCTCCAGAAGTATATACTTGGTCATACTAAACCTTAATTATTTTTTTTGTTTTGCAAGTTTTAGTAAATTCTGTCCAGCCCAGATTTTACCTTAACTTTCATCATGTCTTCATCCTCTGTGTGTCACCTCACTTCTCTCCCTGTTCCCCTGAAACAGCCTGGTTCAATTTAGATTGGATAATATCAAATACTTTACTTCAAACAGTTGAACTAAAGTCCATATGCCATTTATTCAAAATGAAACAAAAACACCCCCACTAAACCCTAACCCCAAACCAAAAATGTTTTTATCACTTTCAGTCTGCCATAAATGTAGAATTTCTTTCTTCTTTGAGCTGTAGTCAAACCACATAGCCAATGCAGCGCCATGTAGCACCAGTTCAATAAATAACTGGGCAGCTCTACTGCATAGGTGAGGAAAAATGTTTTTCTTTATTTTATGTGGATTGCTTAGGTCTTTGTACCCTGTCTCCCTGAAGATTAAACAGCAAACACAGGCTTCATGCAAAGCTAATAATTACAAGTCTTAGTGTGAAATGCAGAATAGCGCCTTTGGAAAAAGAAAAGTTTCATGTGGGCTTGGAAATGCTTGCATCTGTGCGGAAAATAAGAAGCCATGAGTCTAGGGACCGAAATCCCAAGTGGTTTTAAAACAGCTAGAGAAATACGTGTGTGCTCATATACGTATTGAAGAACTTATGATGAAAACTTTGGCCATAGATGGGTGGACTCTCGTTAATTAGGGTTTATTTCTGCATCATTTGTGGTGGTGTTGGAAGTCTCTTTGCCAGCTGTGAATCAGCCTTTAGGGTTTGATTTCCTTAAGCTATATGTGTCTTTGTGGATATCTGAGTACCAGTTTGATTTCTGACCAAGAGGAAATGCTGAGGATACCATCCCTTGTTGCATTTTCCCTGAAACCTGAACCATTACATGAACAAAGCAAATTCAGAGGAAACTGTTCCAGGTCACGGTATGAAGCGTGAGAAGAGTGTGGAAGGTGCCATGTCTCATATCAGCCTGTTTTTTTGTTACCAAGAAAATAGATATTATATTAAATAAATTGTGATTTCATGTATGTTGTCTCCTAATCTAAAAGCCAAGCTGGATTTCTGATGGAGCTTGGTTACAGACAAGCCACTCATCTGCTGGCTGAAGCCAAATTCCTACAAGAAAACCAAATTAGAAGCCGCCAAATGGCACCTCGTACTATAAAGGGGGAAAAACATTTAACTGGCAATATTACTGTGAGCAGCTGCTGTGGGAATTTAGCAAACTAAGAGGCCTAGTAGATCAATGGTGAGGTTCCTTTCTCATTTGGTGGTGACTAGGAGGGGATGGCCAAGATGAAATGGATGGCTGCCTTCCAGCTGTCTTTGGGATGGGTACGGGTCCCTCAGAGCAGGCCGGAGATGGCTCAGGGTTCAGAAGTTACCAGGGTTACGCCGGCGAGCAAGCAAACAACTCCCTTCAACTTCCTCTTGGGAAATCAGCCTAAAAATAGGTTGCTGAGGCTTAAGGTTAAAAGTAAAGACGTGACCAAGTAGTGCCATTGAAAAGCCAGCTCTGCTCATCCTCTACAAACATCCAAGGACTGCATTTCCCTGCCAGAGCTGGTGCATTTGTTACTAGCTGTAGAAAAAGGCTTTGTGAAAGTTGTACGTTAGATAGCAACATCTTCTGACCTGAGAGTAATGATGACGGTTGCATTTTCACTAAAACACATTGAGTTTTAGAAATGGCTTTTCAATTTGGCAATAGGCCAAATATTTAGAAATCTAGATGATGCTGAATTGAAGCTGATGACTGAAGAGGTGAGAGGACTTATTTGAAGGTCAAGTGGTGGGATTAGTGGGTACCCACGCAGTTGGACTGTCACAGCTTGGCGGGTGGGGTGTGTCCTGCTTCTAACTATTGTGTTTACCTGCTCTACCCAAGGTCCAGTTGAAAAGCGAAGAATCAAAAACGTTTGCCATGAAAATATTGAAGAAACGTCATATCGTGGACACAAGGCAGCAGGAGCACATCCGCTCAGAGAAGCAGATCATGCAGAGTGCACACTCAGACTTCATTGTGAGGTATCGTCCCTCTGCCCTACATGCTGCCATTGGGGGGCAAAGCACAGCTAATCTTGGCATTTCATAAAACCACGCAGTAATAATACATCCTTCACTAGAAAAATACTTTAGCCATAGCTTTCCTGCAAGGGACTGCAGATACAGTGCAAGGAATAGGAATAAGGTCTTCTCCAGGCCAATGTGAGATTACTCTGCCCATGGGGGACGTCTGCACAAGCCTAAACTCATGTCTTAACTAGTTTGCTTTGTCCCCATGCTGTGCTCACATGGCTTTGTGGCTACTGGAGCAAGCACACCCACAGCCTGGGCAGAGCTTGCCAACGTTGGCAGGCAATGCTTCATGTAGATATACACAGCGTGACTCAGCATCACCCCTGCTCAAGGTTAATATTCCTCTTTTTTCTGAAAATCTGAATTTTCCTTCCCACAAAGGGAAGCTGGAAGGCAGGGTTTAATCTTTTGAGATCATGCGCCATGTGAATAAAGAGTTGCATTCAGCAATTCTCTTTGGGGTGAATTAGATAAGTCCAGTTCAGTGTCCCTTAACTCATCATGGGCAAATGCACTAAAACCATATCCCTCCTCCAAACCTAAGCAGATGCAATTCTTCAGTGAATAAAATCAGGTGCCAGGCATAGCAGAGTTGTCTAACTCTTCAAGGATTGTGAGTATGTGTCAGCAGGGAGCAGAGATGGTTCTTTACATGGTTAAAGTCAGGACAAGAGTGGTGGGTGGTGAGGACCTCTAGCAGGGCAATGCATTTCACCAAACTGGAGGTATCTAAAAGGGCAGCCTCTTGTCTAAGCCAAGGGTCCTGTGTCCCACCCTCAAAGAGATGCCTGAAGCACTTGCCTTTTGCTGGAGGAGATCAACCCCACGCCCAAAAATTGCTCCAGAGAGACATACTAACCCAAACCAAACGTGAAACCAAACCTCTGTGATAAGTGCAAAGGCAAGCATGTGGCTGGGACGGCCACCCATCAGCCGTTAAGGGGGTGTTTCCTTCCCGGGCTGATCCTGGGGATTCCCCCAGAGCCCACGGCCTCGCCTCCGATTCATGGGTGAAAACTGCAGCCTGACACCCTACCCAGCTGCAGTTTCCTTCACACTCTAATTGTGCCCCCATTACCTAGGCTAGAGCCAAATATACCTTGCAGGCTATTTCAGCCTATAGATTTATTTTCTGAAGCCTGAGCTGTCTCGGGATGAGAATGTAAAGGGAAGTGAAGTGCAGGACCAGCCAAACAGAGGGACATTTTGACACCATATCCAGAAATACCCCATCCTAAATAAAAAGCCCGAGCCTGCAAATGTTTCTTAACTGATACTCATAGCTCATAAAATAAATACTTCTTCATTCCCACTTTTTTATTCTTTCAGTAGGCAGGTGATTAAAGGATGCATTAGCTGTAGGTATTTTCCTTCCATGTCATGCAATGATTCCCATCCTTTACAGTAACAAGCCTCCCTTAACTATTTTTAATACCCTGTGGAAATCCTGCACTAGGAAGGGACTTTCTAAGTCATAAAGTGGAACCTTTGGCTATCATATGTGCCGCAACTAGAAAATCCTCTCTGGTTTTTCAAACTCTGAGTCTTCATTTCCCTTTCACTTCTTTTGCATATCCACAGGGATTTGACGTTGTTACAGCTTCTATACAGAAATTATTCGTAACCTGTTTATACCCTTTCTTGGGCCAGCTGGGATATTCTTTTGTGCGCTATGGGTAGAAATCTTAGCACTTTGATAGATGAATTGTGTGTGAAAGGTGGGTTTAAAATAATCTTGAAGCAAGGACAAAACCTATGGGATATCAGAATGGGAAGGACAAATTTCCTGAAGAACCCCCCGATTATTTTCTTAATTCATCATGAAACTATTCATTCAAAATGTTTGAAGAATAGTTCAATTTGATTATTAAAATGCATTAACTGGGCAAAAGAAGCAGAAGAGGCCAAATACCACTAAATAAAACTTACTCATAGATAAGCTAAGAATTTCACAGAACAAAATGCTCTGTGTGCGTTTGGTAAAGGGCCAAACAAGTGTTAAGCTGTGGATGTCTGCACTGGATTTGCAAATATTTAGATGAATAAGAAAATGAATAAAAAATGAATTCAAATATTGTGACATTTCAAACTTACAACTGCTTGATCTACTGAAATACTGCAGTTTCATCATGTATAAACTTTATGCTTCCATTACAGTTGCTAAACAATATTTGATTTTTTTTTTTTTCTGTACATTTTAGGCCAGATTTATTGCCCATAAAATTTTCTGGAAAGCAATTTTTCAGACGGACTACTGTAACTAGAGAAAGTTATGCCTTATTTCGGTAGTATTTAAATTACTGAGCAATTGAAAATATTTAGTTACTCAAATTTTGGATTCTTGAATATGTAGGCTTTCTGTGAACCTTAATGTAGATGCAATGTTTATTAAGATAAATCATATTTTGTCCAACTAGCAAGAAGTAGGGGTTTTTTTATTGAACTCATAAATTTTAACCATATGAAATGGTCAGTAAGTTTGTTCATTTTTTTGCCTTTAAATTTTGTTGTGGCTGCAAATAGTACCTTCTAGCTACAGAATATTTACCCAGGTAGATCAGCACTGAGCATATTCAGTACTCAAACTCCTGCCTGCATCACAGCCACACCTGCTGGGATCTTTTTGTGTTAAACGTGCCAAAAATGTAGTGGGTAACTGCTACTAAGCTGTCTGCTGGACGCTACGCAAACACAGACAGAAGACAAATGTTGTCTCGCATCGTGATGTGAAAGCGTATCAGAGCCAAGCTGTAGCTGCCAGGATGTTTTTCTACGTACCTTAAGTCAATGTTTAACTGAATGCCTTTGAAAGGAACCAAATCCTGCTTTGTTTTTCCCCTGGTCCATCACACAGCTCCATAAAAGACATTAATAACTGAATTTTTCACTTGCTGGGAAGAGACAATCTGCAAAACCACCTGTTTGAATTTACGTCATGTTGCATCAGCCCATTTAATTTTTAACTCTTGGAAATTCCCATGAATGGAACAAATACACCATAACAGAATATCCTTCAGCATCCCCTTCTGCTGTGGAGCTCGGATTTTTAAAATTTATTTCTAAACAGTGCAGCTGCGAAGAAATCTTTCAAGTATCCACATACAGAGGGCTCGTTCCTGCAGGCACTCTGAACCGATGTACCCACATATGTAAATAGAAGTACAAAAATAGTTCAACATTAAAATTAAACAAACCAGCTAATACTGAATTCCCTATTTTTATTTCCGTAGTTGTATGGTTCCAATTTTTTAATATATCATTTTAAACACAGAGGATGGATTTTGCCACACAATTTAGTTTGCACTTGAGCAGGAGGTCGAGTTCATAAAGCCTGTCCCGTCTACACCTTTAGGCAATTTTTCCTCCACATTCAGTCCCTGGGAAGAAGAGGAAGAGCACTTTTAGATACCTGCATGTCAGTGGGTTCCCTTTAAAATTTACCAGATCAGTGGCTTTAAGTTCTGCCATGAATCACAAATTGGGTGGTGCTCCTTTGAAATGACCACATGGAAAGAAGACTGCCAATCTGCAGCCAGACTCTGTAGCGTGAAGAATAAGATGATATGATGCTATGAAAAATGGTAGGAAAACTTCTCTTTCAAGCACATCTGGAAAGCCAAGTGTCAGGTTATGCCGTTAGAAATGGCAGATTTCATATGTAGCACCCAGAGCAGTGGTGCTGTCTTCTTCTGAGGTCCACAATACACTTCACCACAAAGATACCCACCCTTTTCTGCTGAAATATTTCCCATCTAAGAAGAGACATGGAAATTATCTCCTTAAACGTAGCACTAGCTCTAAAAGATACACTTAGTCTTGTGGTGCTTCCTAGGATGAAGTCCACGGTCCATGAGAAGTGGGAAAGCTTGGTGCCTTTGCTGGTGGATTTATTTACGATTTTCTTGTTTGCCCACAACAGGCTCTACAGGACGTTCAAGGACAGCAAGTACCTGTACATGCTGATGGAAGCTTGTCTAGGTGGAGAGCTCTGGACAATTCTCAGGGACAGGTGAGTTTTAAGAAACTATTGTCTTAAAAAGTGGAATATATTCTCATATGCCTTCAGATAACCAGAGGTCTTCATCTTTCATGGGCAAAATCTGGATCTTATCACACTGTTTGATTTAAGATCCCAGAAAGGTGAGGAGATATTTTTGTTCCTACGCAGTTGCCTAGACACAAAGTGAATCTAGTCATAACTGAGAATAAAGACTGATTTAGGTTGCGTCCAACATGTACAAGGCTTTATATAAGTGGAGACTTAACCAGAGCTACTTTCTCATGGCCTCTCTGAAAAAATACGGAAAGTAGTGATGGTAGCGATGGTAGTCATGCAATAAGTACAGTAAGTCTTTGACTGACATTTTCCTGTATCTTCATTTCTGAATGGTACCCCTAAATAGCTGGTGGCATATTTTAATTTTAATCTAATTAATTAATAAATTTTAATTACGTAGAACAATAGCCTTTTACAACCACGAAAGTTAGGGCTGTGTCCTCGCTGCCCATGCTACTGTTTCTCATGTTTCAGAGCCTCGCTGGAGGCTCAGGCACCTGGTGGGGAAATCTGGGATTGTGCTAAGGGTGACAAAGACTTTGGACACCACGTGTGATGGCAGAGAATGACGCTGCAGGGTGTGGCCAGGCATTGCAGGAGATGAAATGTCAAGGCCAGTCTCGCTGCAGTCTTCCACGCTCTAGAGATAGGGTCCTTCCAGTGGAGATGGCACCTTCAGGCATTTCTGCCGTGGCTGTCTTAGACTCTTGACTTATAAACCAAGGCCCTAAGATGGCAGTGGTGTTAGAGAGAGTTCACAGTTGCGAACATAATCCACGGGAAAGTGCATTATCAAGGTAAAAAATGCAGACTTCTGTGAAGTCTTCTGAAAAATCACACTTTCCCATCCCAGAGAAAGACCTGTTTTCATCTCAGTGTTTGCTCCTCTGCCTGCCCTCTGTAACTGTGAATAGCAACATCCACCTCTATCACGGAATCACTATGATAAACAATATGTATTAACATTTCTTAATATTTGTGACGCAGTCATGTATGGTAGCGATGAGCAGGAGGAAATCAATAGTCCTGCATGGTCTTTTAGTCCAGATATCATGTATTAAACAACGGCCACTCATCGAAGCGGGAAGCAGGATCATGCATCAAATGCACACCCTGCAAAGAGCACTATGCGGACAGGACGCAGAAGTGCTGTGGAAAAAAATAGGAAAGCATATAATTACATATGGCACTGTAATGCACAAGGAAATGTGGTCCTGGTATTTCCTGCCTTGGGAGGGATTGACCTTGCAGCAGCTGGTTTTGGTTGTGGGGAGGTAGGTGGTAGGTGGGTTGTGCTGGTGTACGTGGGACGTGTATGCGATACACCCACGGGGCAGGAAAAGATGCAATGAATCACATATAACTATATAATAGGCTCATAACTGGAATATGATTTGGTTAAATTTGGAAAGCAAAATAAATGCATTAGAAAGATTAATCGGAAAGCAAAGATTAAATTCTATTTTAATTACCTAGAACACGTTTTTTTTTGTATTCCTTGCTTTTCCTGACAGCGTGCCTTCTCCAGACCATTAAAATGAGAACTGTAGCAAAGTTAGCAGGTGCCAGGTTGTATTTTTCATCGTTTTTGTCAGAGGCTGATAATTTCATCTGTAATTGTCTCAGCTTTAAATTGTGGTTCTGCTGCCACCTAGCTTAGACACACTTCTGAGTTCAGCCAGCTCCCAGCGGGCAAGGGGGATATGGTTTGCTTCGGAAAACTTTGCAAACTGGGTGCTGAAATGAGGATCCAAAAGTGCAGTTTATGCTGAATTTGCAATTAACACTTGAAGTCCCAGCAACTGTAATTTTTCTCCTTTTTGTCTTAGTTCTGAACATTAGTACAGGAGTTCTTGATCTCCACAGCTCAAAATAGCTTTATCACACAGAAGTGAAATACTATAATAAAAAATCACCTTTTACTTAGAAGATATTTGTAAATTTTACTTCTACAAGATGTAATTTTAAAATAAAACTAAATATTTTTATGTTAAATAAATAAGAATGTTTTAGATTTGAAAGTTTGTTATGAAAGTGGATTGAAGGCAAAGATGCTATCTTCAACAGTGGAAATGCAATTAAATTTATATATAAAGGTGAGTTTAGCAACTGCCACTTTCTATTAGAAAGATTATTTATTAGAGTGATTCTACTGTAGTGTATAAGTATTTTAATAGTAGGGTGAAGTCTAGTAAGGGAAGAGATCTAATCGCTTTATCCCCTTTCCCTCTCTTGTTTTATGTAGAGGTTCATTTGAGGATTCAACGACCAGGTTTTACACAGCATGCGTGGTCGAAGCATTTGCCTATTTGCATTCCAAAGGGATCATTTATAGGGACCTCAAGCCAGAAAACCTCATTCTGGATCATCGAGGTTATGCCAAACTGGTGAGTGCCTGCAACGTCTGGTTTGCCAAAAAAAGTCACCGTTACTACCGGACAACTGGTGTTAGGGGTAGAGGAGAGCACAGGATTAACCATAGAGGGTCAGAAGCAAACAGCCCAGGGTTCTGTCTCTGATGGTGGCCATCAGTAGATGCTTAGATGAGATCAGGGCAAGGGTATTGTCACCCACCACTGGGATATTTTCCCAAGCTCCAGCAGACTGAGGCTCAGGATATAGCTGAGCTGGAAGACATGAATTCTGGCTTCAAATTCGGGTCTGTGGTCCTGAAGTGGAAATGTTCAGAGAAGAGCATCAAGAGAAATCCATCCAGCTGTTTTGGAGCTACTGAAAGACTAAAAAATAACTTGAAAATAGGTGTTTTAAGATATTGGTGGGAGAGGGGGAAGGACTTGCATCTGTGGGCTTTATGGACAACTGGTGAAGCAAATTTTGTGAGGTAGTGTTTCTGTGTCATGTCCTTTGCATAAGCAATAAAAAAGTTCTTAATGGAAATACTAATCATGATCTTGTCATGGCAAGAAATTACTATTATTAATTGCTCTAGGCTATGTTACTGAACTGTGGCCGATACAGCTTCTTGCTCTGTAAGGGCCATTTGTGTTTTAGCACCAATAACGCACCTGACTGATCCATGCAAACTCCTCTGGGACGACTGCCTAAGGCTCTTCCTGAAACTGCTATTCCCAGAATGTCGTGGTCCTTCTCAGTGGTGTCCCTCTGAAAGATCCTCCTCCTCAAACCAGGATGACAGAGTGTGCAAGACATCCACCCCCCAAATTAAGGAGTTTCTGAAGCGTTTCACTGTGCTGCTTTGTTTACTCGTACTACTTTTTTGCCTCAAAAATCACTGTAGAGGTGCCCTGCATGTAAGGTACACCCTAAATGCCACGTGAGACCATGGAGAAGGGGAGAAGAAAAGCAAGACTTCCCTTGGTGAGAGGTGCTTGGGAAGCCATCAGTGAAGGACACAGCAATGCACTTCTCAGAAAAGCTGTGTCCAAGACGGGCTGGTGCGCTCCCTGAGAGTCACAGGGAGGCCAAGGTTGATTTAGGGACTCTTCCCTGCCTTGAGGAAGGGAAACTTGGGAACGTCAGCAGGTGGGAGCAGTAAGTCAGACCATCACCATCATGGACTTTTATGGCCCGGTGGCAGTCATCATGTGTCACCATGACACTAAGCCTAATGAATGACATCACAGTTTATCCTTTACAGCGTTTCACTAAGGCTGGGGGGTCCAGTGTGCTGTCGGGTGACTGAGGAGGATTAGGTGCAGGACTGTCCTTCCCACTCTAGGAAGATCTGGACCAGGGTCTCTGCTGGTCCCCTCACCATTGCCCACCTCCTTAGACATTTTGATCTCCCTGAACATGTCCGTGATAGCACAAGAAGTGTCCCAGATCTCTTGTGGGACTGTGACCATGTAGGAAATTTTGCCCCTGACTAGTGCAGGAAGGTGCAGGATTATCTCACAGCCATCAAGGGACAGCAGAGTGTGCTACAGACCACAGCTCTGGGCCAACACAGCACTGAGTGAAGAGAGGGCAGAGGGGCTAGAGCTAAAAATACAGTAAGCTTATTAAGCTGAGCTCTGCATGGGCCCCCAGAGGACAGCTTCGGTTCCCAGTGATTTTCCATGCTTGCCGGTGCCACAGGGGCACTGCTATAGGGGCATGCTGAGGTTTGTGAGCCTACCGACAGTTTGTAACAGCCTCAAGTAAATGGGGAGGACACTTGTACTGCATTGCTCTCTATGTTGGAAGAGAAATCTGAATTTTTCAGTGGATGCCAACATGGTCAGTATTTAGTCTAAATAGTTCCTTGCTCAGGTAAAGGCTGGAAGTTTATTAAAAAAAAAAAAAACCACCAAAATAAATCAACATGAGCTGTGAATGATACAAAGTTACATCTCCCAAGAAACCCTCAGTGTTCGCATTTTTTCTTCGTCCCTCGCAAGAATCTTCCTTTTATATTACAAAGGATAAATCAGCAAAAAGGTCACTATGGTTGCCTGGTTCTGGAATGACCCACGATGCTTTAATTAGGGGAATATTCCCACGAGGAAACCTCCTTTCTGCTTTGATTCACTTCAAGAGGAGTGGAGCACGTGGCTGACATTCCCTCTTGTGCTCTGCCCTCATGGTACTCTGCTCCTTTCTGCAGGTCGATTTTGGCTTTGCAAAGAAAATAGGATTTGGAAAGAAAACATGGACTTTTTGTGGAACCCCGGAGTACGTAGCCCCTGAGATCATCCTGAACAAAGGTCACGACATTTCGGCAGACTACTGGTCACTGGGAATCTTAATGTATGAACTCCTGACTGGCAGGTATGGGCATCAGGGCCAGCACCACTGCTGAAAATATTTCTGCCGTTGTCACCCTGATTAGGCAAGGGGAAGGTTCAGAGCTGGCATGTGCTGCAGTGGCACAGCTCTGTGCTTCTGAACCTAATAATTAGTTTTTCCACTTTGAATCACAGTTCCCATACAGACCTCTCAAAGGGCAAGACATGAGCAGGCTTTTTAGGAAATGCTATAAAATGACACCAAAAATTCTTTTTTGATGCTGAGTGAGCTGAACATGGTGGGGAAAGGGTTTGCAGTTCAACCAGAGAGGTGCAGTGATGGATTGCCACACGTCTGGAAAACTGAAGGTAGACCTGACACCATGGGGACTTGAGTCCCTATATCCATCCCTTCCCTCATTTAGTTTTGGGTGTATATATTACTTCTCACATTGGCAGTAGTGGCTTCCTGGCACTTCCTCACCTCATCCCCCATCGCTCACTCCCAGGATACAGGAGCTAGAAAAGGATCCGTCACCTCAACCTTATCCTTTGAGGCTGAACCTAGGCCCCTGTTGCGTTAAACCAATGGAATCCTAATTAATCCCCACTGAAAGCATGTCACAACATCAAACAGAGAATAAGCCAGTGAGCATTGCTCAGACCCTTGTTCCTCAGGTTGCTGGGACATGGGCCATCATGGAAGGAAGAGGTTTAGCATGTTCTGCTCTGGAAAACTTTACTCTTTGGTACTTCCCTGCAGCCTGCATCACTGAAATCCAGACAGTATCACAGCTCCTTGGCTGAGAACTGGTTAAGATCATTGGAAGCATTGCTGTGTGTCATCTACCTTTTCTCATTTCAGTAGGGTACTATGTTTTGCTTTGTGGTGGTTTTTTTTCTTTTATATATCAATTTTCAAAGCCATTTTAAAGACAAGCTTTTTATCCTTTTCTTTTTCCTTTCCCCTCTCAAGTCCCCCTTTCTCAGGCCCAGACCCCATGAAGACCTATAACATCATATTAAGGGGAATAGACATGATTGAATTTCCAAAGAAGATTGCCAAAAATGCTGCTAATTTAATTAAAAAACTATGCAGGTAAGCACATAAAATATGATCACCTTGACCTCATTTGCAAAGAAGTGAATTGTTCAGAAGGATTAAGAAAGTAACCTATTTGTTACTCATTTTGTAGGGACAATCCATCAGAAAGACTAGGGAACTTGAAAAATGGAGTGAAAGATATCCAAAAGCACAAGTAAGTGTCTTCTCCACCATCCTTGAGATCCAACCCACAGAAACATGTGTTTCCAACACTTCAATTTTCTGCAAAAAATACTTTTCTTAAACTCCTTTGATGTTTCCTTTATAGTGTGCTTTAGACTAATTGAATTTCTATCAGACTTTTTTTTTTCCCAGTGCTTTGGTATACATGCTTTGGTATACATAGCCTTGCCTATGAGCAAAATGCATTGCACATTGACCATTACACTTTAATTACTCTAATGCAGAAGAGCATTTGGAAGCAATCCAACTTGACCACTGCCTGCTTGGAATTTTTTTGTTTGTAGAATTACTTTGCAGGATTTTTCTAGGTTTCCCTTCCCTCCTCTGCCCAACACACTTTCTCTCTACCCCTAACGTTAATTCATCACCCCTTTTCAACTGATGAAAGAGTTCTTCAGTGATGTCTCATAGTTTTTCACACTGCTAGAGCAGGATAAGAACAAGTTAGAGACCTACTACAGAAGCAGGTCATCTCATGTATCCATGCTGGTCCTTCTGTTCTTCCATCCCCAAAGCAACAGAAATGGGTTGGATGGACATTTTGGGTGGACAGGCTGAAGGCTCAGCTCAGGGCTCATCCACCCACCTAAGCTACCGTAGCTTGAGCAAACCCAAGGTGCCCAAAGCAGGAGGAGGACATCCCTGTGCATGCCCTTAGCTCCAAGTCTCATATGAAGAAAGGACGTTAGGGGTCTTGTATGGGAAGGATCAACCCCATAGGAAGGAAAGATCAGCCGCCAGGACACCTGCAGTGAGGAACAGTTTTCTTCTGAGCATTGGTAATTGGTATTAGCCATGGTATCACCACAGCGTTGCTATACCTGCTTCATTTTCAGTCCCAAAAATATATATGTAAAGATGACATTTTTAAGGCTAATTGGACAATTTGAAGAAGATAACTGCAGGAGATGAAACCCACTGTTTAAGCAATTTAAATTTCATTTTGTGCTACAGACAGATTTTCACTGTATGTCTAACTGTTTCATTATTCCCTCTCTTCTAGATGGTTTGAAGGCTTTAACTGGGAAGGATTACGAAAAGGAACCCTGACACCTCCTATAATACCAAGTGTAAGTTTTCCTACTTATTTTCTGCTTTCTTTCACATGAAAGTTGTGAGCTTTGGGCACTAGTACACTGTAGTTAAGTGGCAACAGTATGTGCTTTATTTCTTCTGAAGATGCTTGAAGAAGTCATGTTAGAGACGTTTCCAGCTGTACTTGGTCTCCGGGCAGTCTCTTCCAGAAGGCAGCAGTCTGGGGAGGGCATGACTGCAATGAAATGCCCTTTGCAGCAGTAGATGGGGGAAGGATCATTCACTACTGCACGTTTTTCTCTTCCTTACCTGCTCCACTTCTTTCTTCATCTGCTTTTCACATTTCAGTGGAGAGCTGCCACTTTCACCCCTTCTTTCAGATGTGTCCGCTTTCTTTCTCCTTTATTCTTATTTCTTTTGACAAGGCAAGTGAGATTTGTATGCCATCTCCCTTTTCTTTTGAATTAACCTTTCCCTCTGTCTTTTGTGCTTTTCACTCTTTTTTTCCCTGTGTACATGTCCTACATGAAAAGCCCTGTTACCACCTAGTTTATGTTTAACTGGGAGCAGACGCAGAGGGACAGCTCGACTCATTTTCCTTTGGAGCAAAGCTTTTCCTTTGATGTCTTTGTGAGCTCTTTACCCACAAAGCCTGCCACAAAGGGAAACCAAACAGGATTAGCTGATAGAAATTACCTTGGGCCCTTCTGTTCTGCAACCTCCCCTCCTTGTTTCAACTTAATCCCTTTCTCTCCGTGCCTCTCCTGCGGGATCACTGAAAGAATGACATCAGCACTCGTATTTAATTGCACCCTGGTGCTCCGTCCACCCGTGGTCCTGCATCTCCTGCAGCAGCAGCAGGCATGGCTCCGGGGCTAAATTTGCCACCCCAAACTTTTCTTAACAGCTATGAAAGTGCAAGAGGGTTTTGCATCCCCACCCTTTTCCCCTATGGGCTGTAGAAAGTACTGGCAGTCAGTGGGAGAAGGCAGAACTAAAGAACATATAAATGTCTTAAAACTCAAAACTGTGTTTTTTCTGTGAAGCTTCTTTTTAATGACGATTAATTTGTCAGCAGTACTGTTCACCACATTTTAAGTCAAACAATGAAGTCAAGTTTGCTCCTTTACATCCAGTTCCAGTTCCTGGTTTACCTGTGCAGGATGCCAGTGTAGCCTGAAAATGCCCCAATATGTTTCTCTTATTGTTTTTAGTGGATTTTTAGTTTAGTAAGACTATTTCCAATACTGCTTTTACCCAATGTATGTATGGACCCTGGGTGTCTAACCCTCAGACAGCACTACCAGCAGCAGTGACTCCAGCGGTATCAGCTCTCTATGGACACGAATTGCTCCCTGACGTCCCCAAGCTGAGAGGTTTCTCTACCGCCAGGAATGGTCTCTGCTTCTTTGGCATTGCCTAGACAAAGGCTGCTTTCCAACCTGTTGTGCAAGAAATCACATTTTCTTTGCTTTCTCAGTTACGTTAACGCAGTACAAGAAAAGGGTTGTGTGAGCACCCAGTTCACTTCATTGGTGTTATTTCTTGGCATTATCAAGCCTTTATGTTCATGGGTCTGGTGATGTCCTACCAGGGAACGTGTCTGTGGTTGCGCCCAAGAGAGTGATCTGCTGTCACCCTTTTGGCTAGCACACCACCATCAACGCTGGCCAAAGTAGACAGGAGAATCCTTCCCTCTTCAGAGGAATCCTTCTTCCAGGACAACTCAATGCTGACAGCTGTACGTTGTCCCAATCCCAATTCAACACAGCTCATTCTTCCCTACAACTCTTAGGACTAGTATCTGCGCTAAAGATACTCTTGAGATACTCTCCAAAACTTGCCTCCATTAACTAGTGAACCTCATCCACCCGAAAGCTGTCTGTCCTGCTCAGCCTTGTTTTCCGTACCCAGCTCAATTGCTTTGGCAAAAGTCCCAACTGCTGTCAAGGGCCATATTTGAAAAGTGACCTGAAATGCATAGCTCTGGCAGAAGAAATCAGGTTTTCTTTCAATCAGTGCACCTCTCCATGTTAATTGGAAAGGAGCCAGAAGGGCTAAACATAGAGGCTAGCTGTTTTCTTAAGAAAAAAGCCTTCCCTAGCTCTTTAACCCTCATCAGCAATTATGTGGTACTACTGGGGAGGTAATCGAAAGCTGCTCCTTAGCCGTTTATGGCCTGGTCCTAGGACATTGCTTCAGGGAGCAGCTGAGCCTTGAAACCACCACTTAAATCTGTGATGGTAGCTGTACTGAAAAGCTTCTCCTACTTCTTGCCTCTTCCAAATACGTGCTCTCTTGCATCGCAGCTTGTGCCTTTGAGAAAGACGTGCAGATCTCTGCACCATAGTTCATCTGAAGCCCTGATGTTGGCAAGCAGCCAGACAGCTGATACTGATGTTTGCACTTTATCTTCTTGGATGGACAGGAGATGAATCTAGAGTGTTGCTTCTTGGCTGGAGAGGGCAATGAGAGGGACATTTGTTCCCATGTCTCTTGACAGTGAAGGACTGCAGGCCATGTAGGTGACCTGGATCTCAGAGCTGTGCAAATCATACACAACAGCATCAGCATCACATAAAGTCAATTAGCAGAGTAACAACTCATCCAACCTTTCTTCCCCAAATCATATTTCTTCTAAGAAAAAGAAAACCCTCTACATTTGAGGTGTTAGATTCACTTGGCCTTTATATTTTGTCACGTGAACACAAAATGCAATCCATTTCCCAAAGCAGGACTTATTTCCCTTAAAGCCTCATCTAACTAGAGCTCAAAAAACCGTGCCTGCCCTGCTAGTTGCTCTCAGAGTGGACATCTGCAGGGGAGCCCCAGGGAGCTCCTTAGATGCTTTCACCCAGTTCAGACCACTTACGCACTGTCCATCACTGCTGAGAGACTTTTGCAAGAAGCTCCAGCTCATGTGCATCCTCTGTGAATGGCCACGCCAACTGCATCTCTTATACTTTGGTAGCTGACATCTTGTACGTAGATTCCCAACACTTCCACTCGCAGAGCGAGAGCTCACACGGGGTGGGCTGAGAGAAACAGAGGGATGTGGTCCAGCCATGGTGGCACCATGGAGGATGGCAAACAAGGAGGAGAATCGAAAGGGTGAAGGCTCTCCAACTCAACAGTGCCAGCACCAACAAAGTAAACAGTATTCAGTATTCAGTGAAGCATCTAATCACTCTGTGGTACTCCACTAACCTTTTATAGCTTGGGTTTTTTTCAAAGTGAGTTGCGGATTCAAGGATCCTAATTTTCCCTAAGATGTTTTCAGCATCAGGAAAATGCTGATGCGTCTGGGCAGCAAATTAAGTTTAGAGCTGAAGTTGGAGCTCTTGTTGATCATGTAGTCTTTTCCCAAGGCTTATAGCAGCATCCAGCATCAAATACGTTTCCTGGACTGTAGGCTGGGCTCTGGCCAGGGCTTCTCCACCAACTGCACAAGTGAAACAGCTGAAAAACATGTGAAGTGTTTACTGCACAGCACTCCTGCGGCAAGTGCAGTCTCCTCCAGCCTGCACTTGCTACTTGGGGTACAGCTTAAAGGATTGATTATTTTGGGCTGGAGGAGCTGCTGGTCTGTTTTTGTCTCTTATTTTTTAAATTGCATTGAATGTATGCAAAGTTGTCATTGTAAGAAAGTTTTAGTCATCGTCATAAAGCAAAAAAAGTTAGAAATTATTCAGCTATGGTAGATTTTAAGTTACTTTCTTTCCAAAAAAGAAACGTACTTGGCCTTCCTCCTAGGAAGATCTGTTTCTCTGGCAGGCTTCCTATGATGAGCAATACTTGTCAGGAAACTTGGAGGCAGCAGGGCCCAGCTCACAGCCTCCAATTCAGGATCCTGGAGCCATAAATTGGAAATCCTGGGCTTTGGGGAGGCCCAGGGCTTTTCTGCCTACCTTGTAATCATGGGTAGCACAGTTGCTCCTGAGCTAGAGGCCATAGAGGGCCTGGATCATTAGAGTGGGGGGGACTGTGGGAAGTCCTCCTGGGATTCAGCAAAAACTTATTGAATGCAGAACTTTTCTTGCTTGCTACAGGTAGCAACGAATGCATTTGAATGATCACGGTTGTGAGATGGAGAGGAAAAGTCTGCAGAGGTCCACTTGGATGACTGTCTCCTTGTCACGCTCTTCTTTCCACAGGTTGCATCTCCAACAGACACAAGTAATTTTGACAGCTTCCCAGAGGACAGTGATGAACCACCCCCTGATGACAACTCAGGATGGGATATAGATTTTTAATGTATTTCTCTTACCTGCTTCTGCCTTGCTGAAGACAGCTTCCTGGGACATGGCTGCCAGCGAAACCGAAAGAACTGGGGAGGATTAGTGCTCGGGGTCACCATGATGCCTTGATTGATGCTGCTACAGTAACTACAGTGGCATTAAGACTTATCGCTTAGATGACAATAATAGTGCTCTTCATGTTTTATGTTAGAATAGCAGTTGACATGGTGGTCCTGACGCAAAGCCTTTCACCAGTAAAGAAATATGTTTTCTATCACTGCGATGATCTTGCTAAGCTCTTAATTATAAAAGTCGAGAGATACGTAGTGTAAGACGCACTTAATTCTAGCTGCAAGGTACTGGCTTTATCAGTAGGATCAGTAGTAATTTGTTAAGTGCTGTAGCTAAATACAGTGCAGGATTTGGGCTACTCCCACCCTCCAAACCCTGTAGGTCTTCTACTGTAGGCCAGTGTAGGAGCAAAGGAGGACCACAATGGTACTGGTCAAAGAGTTCACATCAAAGCAGTGGTAAAATTTGTCCTTTTTTCTTTCTGAGCAGTATTCCTGACAAGACTGAATGTTACCTTTCCTCTTTCTTTTTGAGATTTTTTTTTTCAGCCTGGTAAAACAAAAGCACAACTGCTCTAGATCCTGTTAAGGCAGATATGGGTCGCTTCACTTATACAGCTGAGAACATAGTGTAACATGATGTTTGGGTGTTTTTTTTTCCTTCCCTTGGTACAAATCCATAATTGCATGAAAAAAAATCATAAAATTAATCCATTTTACATATAAAATAGTGCTTAAATAATGGTCCTGTAATAAAGTGACAGCAGCCCACTGGTCTTATTGATTAGCTATTAGGCATAAAACTAAGCTTAATTTTTATCTTTTTAGAACCCAAAGGGAAAACATAAGGTCCGTAATGTACTTTATAGGTGCTATGTACATCCTTCATCTGCAAATATAAATTGAGTCAACCACCATTTCAGAAATATGTAGCAAGAGACATCGTTCTCCATCATGCTCTTACGTGATTTTAGGTCTCCATGCCTGCATCTCCTTGGTGGTTAGTACAAAGCTAATAAAAATAAAAGGTGGTACAGGGCCAGTTTGCTGGCTCTGTTTTTAACATTGTAAAAATGTGATCGTAATGCCTCATCAAACTAAGGAGCTCCGTAGGAAAGTCAGTGGAATTAAATGGAAAATATTTGTGCAAGGTCTCCATGTCTCTGGTGTACCAGGTTCTCAGTGACTGTGTTTAAGGCACGGGGATGGCTAGAGCCAACTCAGATCCTGTGAAAAAAAGAGCTGGGGAAAATAGTATTAATGTGCGTACACTGTTCCCTCACTTCCACTGCTTTTCCTTTGCTTTAGTGCAGTCTCTTCTGATTTGTAGGATGTAACAGAGGAATCCTGCCCTGCATGCCTGCTTGTTGTGTATGCATGGGACTGAAAGTCTGTCAGCTTTCAGTCTCTAACAGACACTGCCCCAAAAAACTAGCAGATGCTGCCCCATTTCATCTCAGAGCTGCCAAGAGCCATTGTGTACACTGGAATTCAAAAGATCAGCCTTTTCTGAAAAGTCATTTATATTACTTTTGACTACATAGTATGCAGAAAATGTATGTTTTAAGAGTAAAAAGTAATTTCCCTGATGCTAGATCCCAACTCTTTCGCATGTTCCTAATGAAAGCAACCTAATAGAGCATGTTAAAAAGACATTTTCTCCCCTTGTTTGACAGCATTGACAATGTGTGCTGTTTGCCAGCAAACTAAAGAGCTCGGTCACCGCAACCCCTTCCTAATTTTCCGAAGGGTGAGGTGATGCCATCAGCACAGTAACTTCAGGTTATTTCCGGTATTCATTCATCATTTAATCTTTGTTTGCCTTGAAAACCATAGGGAAAAGACAGTAACTGCATCTCCTGAGAATTGCCTATATAGGGCAAATACACACCCACTTTTCAGCCTTTCTCTGAGGGATGGAAGACACTGAAAGCAAACGCTGAATACTAGGGCTAAAATAATCACTAGGCGTCTTAGCAAACAGGCTGCTGCCTAAAAGCCGAATTCTTGACTCCTGTCTCCCTGTTTTTTTCACTTGATGATGCAGCGACATTGGAGGAGAAAACTTGCTGCATTTGGTAACTTTTTGTAGAAGAACACAGAGAGGAGTTTATCCCAAAATGAGGATATTCAGTAGCTGAGATGCAGTTGGCAGTCAAGAGGTTTCCGAGAAGAAGTATCACAACCGGTTTGGGGGGCAACCCAAAAACGTTACGGGAAAGTTTTAAAACGGGCTTATGAGTTCTTTTTCTTTCTTCCTATCCCTTTTTCCTTATGCCAAGCACAGTAATTAATACCTGCAGCGTGTGGCATGCGCTGTACCAAATATAATATATATTTTGTTATCAAACACCTCACTCGACTTTCATCACCTTTCCTAAGCATACTTTAAAGAACATACTTAGCATATGTATATGATAAATGCCTTCATTTATAAGTAATATATTTGAGTTGCATTTTATATATATATATATATTCACAACAACAGATTGCCTCCGTGTTTCCACTTACTGTCCTTTCTTCTTTGTCTCCTTTTTTAATATATGGGACGATGGTGTATTTACATAAGGGGAAACCAGCTCCTGTGTTTAAAACAAGCGTATTAAGATTGGTGTCGTTAAGACACAGATGATTCGTAGCTTCTCACAGTGCTGCATTATCCATAGTAAACTCTTATTTAACAACAGGACCACAAGTGAGTATTTATGTAAATAGGTATTTTCGTGTTGATATTTTGTGGTGCACATATAACTTTTTCTTTTAGACTTCCATGTCATTATTACTTCATTTTCTTATTTGTAACGTAATGTTTTTAGATCAAGGTAGACTTGAATTAATGTCATAATTGTCAGTATTATTAAACTTTATGTCAACTGTACTGTTAACTCATCTGTCCCATAGTTTTAGAACATGACTAGCTATTTGGCATTGTTGCAAGTGCCTTAAATCCATGGCATCCTTTAAAAAAAAATTTACGAATTTGGTGTTATGCTGCATGACAGAGACAAACACACCTCAAAATGTTGTCCTTTCTTAGCTTGCTGCGTTTTACAGTTCTTTCTGCTACCAATTTCTAAGCCTTTATTATATAATATTGATGAACTACAGAAATGATGAAGTTGTTCTCTTATTTCTGTTCAGTGTACCAGAGCTGTGTATCTGTTAATGAGATACAGAGTCATTTCTGTGAAATGTATAAATGTTATGTGCGGGTCAAATTAATATATGACATCCTATCAGTCCATAGACAGGTATTCCTGTTTTGCTAAGCTGTGCAGATACAACACAGTGCCATCCAGCACCAAACTCCTGTCTTACAAAAACCCTGTGAGAAATCTCCTGCCTGGAAAAAAATGACGAGCGAGTGGGTGTGCAACCCGATCTCCATTTTTTGACCTGAAACCCCAACGCAAAGGCATAGCTTGTTTGCACCACTCAACAAAACAGGATCCATGCTTTTCCCCTGACGACTCCTATATGCAACCCATCGCAGAGGTGAGCCCTCAGCACTCCTGCAGAGCTGAGCTGGAAAGCTGGAAGCTCCTCATCCTCTGCAGCTCCCCGGCCACGTAAACCAGGCGTAACACTGAGACTCGGGCAGTTTTAGGGCTTTACTGGCAAAAGGGGAAATTCTCATTTGGAGTTGCCTATTGTCCCGAGTCCCAATTTACACTGTTTTTACACTGGCCTTTTGTTTTATGTTCTTATTTTCTCCAGTTTTCTTCTTACATGAAAGAGGTTTTTTTTGTCAGACAAATGTTGGTCATCCACCGGTCATCAGCCGGTTGCACTCTTTTGATGTAGATTTAAGAACTTTTTTTCATAAACTTTAACCGCTTTTGTTTTGCTCTGTATTTTCTCTGCAGCTGTAATTGCCGAGTGCCTGTTGTATACTTTATAGAGTTGAAATAAAAATAATTACTTTTGAACGGCTTTTTGACGTCTTTCTTCCACGGCAGAAGCCAAGTTCAGGAGAGTGCTTCTGCTTAGTGATTAAATTGGATTTTTTATTCTCATTTATGACTATACACAGTAAGCTATAACTAAACAAAAAGTATGATACTTATAAATTGGTACTGGGGTCTGGGCTCATATCTTCATCCGGAATTTCTGCAGGATGCCAAGGCAAATGGCCACAGTTTCTGTACTTTGGTGCTTATTTGAGCACAAGCATCACACCAAGCAGCCCGGCCAAAGCAATTCAAGTCCGATGGGGGTGCTGCTTCGAGCAGGGATGGCACTGGGTGACATTCCCCTCCCCCCCCCCAGTTTGTTTCCAACCCAAATTATTCTGTGAGCATGCTAAGCAAAAAGCATATTTACAGCATGCTTACTGTTCGAGGATGAAGAATTCACTTTATATTTTGATTGCTGCCAATGTGAGTCCAGGGCATGCAGCTGGGGAGGTACTGCATTTCCAACATGAGCTGCACCACCCCGAGATGAGATGTGACTGCAAACAACACCCATGCCAAAAACGATGGTGTCCTTGTCATCACTGTCCCTTACCATTAATGCCAAGAGGGGGTGACACAGAGGCACAGCACAGCCATGGGATATCATGAAGACGTTACCGCTGTATGCGGGGTGGCACCTACATTTTGCAGCATTCAGGATATTGCAACTCTGCCAGTCCCAATAGATTTAAATGAATCCCTGGGACACTGCTCAGCCCCCATGTGACACAACTGTCTTTATGTCTTAGTAAGGTCAAGGTTAAGGGTGTACTTCAGTGCTGTGTGGACAGAGAGAGAGATAAGAACTGGGGAAGGTGATAAAGGGAGCAAGAAAACATCCTTCCAGGAGGAAAATAAATTTGATAACTGCTTAAGCAGGAGCCAGGAAACATCACAAAATGATATTGCAGGATGCAGCAATCACAGATGAAAGTTAATAGTACAATAAAAAGCCCAGGGTGACATGGCCCTCACCTGAAATTGCAAGGGGAATACAGGGATTTTGGAGCAAGGTGTGGCCCTCATTCTTGCAGGCTAAAAATAGGAAGGCCTGGGTTCACCCAACTGTGGCAGGGCTGTCCAGCTGCTGCTGACTCAGCGGTATCCTTCCACCAGCACCTGCGCTCGGTGCTCGCCGAAACTTTCCCAGGCAATTATTAGCCCGGCTTGAGCCTCTCAGGCCCGAAATACCTGATAGCAGCTCTCCGCAGAGCTCAGCCGTGCCCAGCGCTGCTGGGGTTTTAATGGCAGGACCGCGGCGGTTGAAATCACCCGCCCTTATGGGAAT